TGAGTGTGTATGTCTGTGTTAGGAGTCTAGCTCAAAAACATAAAGTCGTATAAAAGTGAAATTTCATTGTTAAGGTTTTTATATGCCTCAAATGTTAAGTTTTTCATAAAAATCGGCTAACCGAAAGTGCCACTTTATATGAACGGTGGAACACATTTTTACAATTTTCTCAAAAATGGCTCTAATGATTTTGATTAAACTTGGTGTATCATTGCATAATTAAGTATTCTTTAATATCACTGAAAGGAGTGGGGTAGCTCAGTAGTAGGATACTGAGCTTCCTATGCTGAAGGTCCCTTGTTCAAATCCCCGCTCATGGCTGAAAAACTATTTATTCTGTTTCATTGGCCGTGAAGCGACCCTGAGTAGGTAGAACCTTCTGGGGCACACCCAGCCTCCATAAAGAGGGTACCCTTAATTAAAATAAATAATTAAGAGATAAAATCTGGTAGTTGAGTGTGGTCTCAGTCAAATCACATCCTTGCACAACCGTATACCAAGAAACAGTGCCTTACCTAAATAGTACTGGCCCCAAGACCCTTCATGGATTGTAGTGGTACAGGTTTTTAATATCATTAAGGTCTTATTCCCATTGATGTCACTTTACAGGGTTTAAATGCCCAATATTCATAAGCGCCTTCCTTTACAATACTTTTAATATGGTTGTTTTTAAATAATTAACTATCTTTCATTCTTAAGAGTAATGAAAAAAAATGCTAAATATAACTTTTGTAAGAATTTGGTAATTGAATAAAGCAGAAAAAAGTAAAAATGCTTATCCAGGATAGAAATGAATCTCTGGAAATACTAGTCAGAAGATATACGTATAATATATCATTGGAAAGCAAAGAATTGTAGAAAAAACAATATCTAATACAGAAAGTTGCAGAAGTTAATGGAGAGAGGCGAAAAAATTAAAAATAATAATTTTTGAATGCTAATATTATTTAACGTAAATCACATGTTATCAAGAAAATTAAATGAAATTTACTAACTAAATGTAAACATTTAAAATATATTTTAGTTTAAAAACAGTATTTAAAATCCACCTAATCAAGGCAATGACATTGTTTAAAAAACTATTTCGTTTACTTGTGTGAAAGAAGAAGAGAAATAAAAAAAAATTTCATGTATATGTTTAAACCCTTAAATACATTTACTGTAGTTTAATAACTCTAGATCTGTTATTATATTTAAATAATTAGGTATCTGTTGTCAGTTTATTCAAAAAAATCATCATGTAACTTTTTAGAAACGTAAATTAGTGAATAAATTGATGAATTTTTCCTTTGTGATATTCCAACAGTATCCACTTACAAATAGTGTGACAACTTTTTGATGTGTCTATGACAGATAATGTAAATTTCTTAATTCCATTTTAGTAAACTTTGCAATAGAAAATAACAGTTTAATAACTAATAGTCGTACAATTCATAATCAACCTGCTATATAATAAATAGGCCTTTTGTTATTTTAATGGTATTTATGATTTGTTAGCTGTAAGCTGGGTTACAAATGCAATTCAAACATTTTATAATAGCCCAACATGGTCAGAAAATAATTTCTATTCAAAGTTGAGCTGTAAGCGAAAGTTGTTTGTTGCCTGCACCAGATTTTTTATTTTATGATAATGAATAGATTGTTGACCTGTAATAAATAATTGAAGCAAAGTTGGTTAGGTTGATCAGTCAAAATAAATAACTATATTTATTTTTATTCCCTTTGTAATAACATTTCGGCCTAAGTTCTAGGACTTCATGAGGCCATATATCATCAGTATCTTAAAGCTAATTTGTTCGAAAAATTGGGAAAATTAAACTCTCAGTTGACTTCAAAGTTGACACAATACCTAAATAGTACTAAAAAGCAAACGAATGCATTAAAATTATTAATTTTAAAATGTTGAGTAAATTAAATAGATAAATTACTGTATATCATAGCTATTTATGAATACTTTTGCTGCATTCAAATTCTTATTTTATACTTTAATTTGAGATAAAAAAAAACATGTATTTATTGTTAAGCAAATACTTTTTAGTGGTACTGAAGTTATGATTAGGCGTTTAAATAAAAAAAATATCTAGGAAACAATTGTTGTTGATTGTTTAATCTCCTACCAGTCCATGTAAGAAAATTTTTGCTGACCACTGTACTTACGTAAAAGCAAATTTGGTCTTATGAATAGTTCCTGCAGTCGTTAAAGACTTTTTAACCAATAATTTATAATAAAGTTGTTAGTATTTAACAAATAAAAATGAAGGGAATAATTGTTTTTTTTTTTTCAGAAATATTTATTAAACAGGGAATAGACTTACAAGGAGAGGAAACAGTTTGTGGGTCACTAATTTCAACCAATTTTTTTTTCGGTGATACATCGGAAAATATTGGAGACATATCATGGCGTTCTTTCAAATGGCCCCTAAGAGCTGAGAAAAAAAAATATGTTAAATAATTTTAAACAAAATCTTTTAGTTATTTTTTCACCGATTTTTAGGTATCAATAATTTTTTTTTGTGCAGAATAAGGAAAAAATATTGACTATTGTATTAAATGAGTTATAATGTATCATAAATTACAAAAACCAAAAGCTTCCAGTACAGTAGGCAAAGTAAATTTTTGTTATGAAAATGCAAATTAGATACCTTTTTAGGGCCCTTTAAAACTCTTAAATAAGAATTGTTATATAAATAAAAAAATGCAACCTTTAGTACTAGATTTTCTGGGATGAGTTATTTTCTGGCCTCCAACTAAAGCATTCCTAACTCAGGATTTTCTTCAAATTCAACTTTAATATAACTGTTGGAAAGTTGAATTAATGCTCTTCCAATGGATACCAATAACTTGTGGATTTAATTGTTTTTCAAGCTAGAAAAATTAAGAAAAACATCTAACCCATTTTTATTTTATATCTTACATAGAGGCCGTCATAAGTCTCTATTAATTAACATGTGTATCGGTGAAGCCATTCTAAAGTTATCACAAATTTAATGGTTGTTGATAAAATTTCGAAGAGTCCTAAGGAAAAATTTTGCATAGGAAATTTCAATTCTTCGAATGCCATTAAAATGCAAATTTTAAGGTTTTTGAGATGCGAAAAACGAATATCAACTTTGTTTCTTCCTAAGAAATTATTTACTCTAAATGCCAATCGGTTTTTAAAAAATATAACTGGTAGATACAGTATGGGCACAATTTGGACCAACCAACATAGCAATGTGAGAGTAAATTTTTTTTTGGGAGAAGTAAAGTTAATATTCGTATTTTGAATATTTAGTATAAACTCGACCAATTTAAGAGTTTAAAAGGGCCCTAAAAAAGGATTCTAATTTGCTTTTTTCAAAACAAAAATTTACTTGGCTTACTTAACTGGAAGCACCTTTTGGATTTTGTAACATACATTCTTTCCTTATCCTGCACAAAAAACAAAACAAAATAATTGATATACAGTAACCTAAAAATCCGGGAAGCAAAGGCAAAAATAAATAACATAGATTTTGTTTGAAATTATATAATTATTTTTCTAGCTCCAAGGGCCATTGGAAAGAACACAGGAATATGTGTCCAATATTTTCCAATGTAGTATCACCTAATAAAAATTGATGACCCACAGACTGTATCCTCTGCTTGTTAATAAGTTCATCTCACATCTGAGACATGTTGAAAAATATTTTCTTTAAGGATCAGTTTCCTTCTTATCTCTTTATACCTCCGTTTTCTTTATACCTCCTTTATTTTTCCTAGCAGTCTGACTGTACTCTAATGATAGATTTTATGCCCTTCTTGGTCATTATTATATGTTTCAAGATGATTCCATAGAAGGTGACTTCATAAAGTTTCGGCAATCCTAATACTGTCCCCCAGATTATCAATCATTAATGTTACTTTATATATTACTCTTATACAATTCCTGAGGGAATACTTTATAAGCAGAATAATCTAGTAGTTATAATTCACACATTTCTAAAGAAAATAAATAGAACAGGACATGGACATATTTATTCATTAATTACAATAGTTATTGATTAATTTAAAAATATGAGCATATCTTTTTTATATGCTCAGTAAAGCTTAAGGTTTTTCTTTTTTAAAAAAATATTTTCTCAGTCTCTTTCCAGAGATAATATTTACCACTCTTATTCTTTCATCAATTCAAAAGTGATAAAACTGATTTATATATTTTCGGTATTCTAATAGTGCATACAATATAACATCCAAGGGGTCTGTTCTCTATAAAAGAAAAACTGTAAGGCGAAAATGTTTTGTAAGTGCTTAAGTCAAATAGCAATTATGAACAAAGTTGCATCTTTTATCTTTTAAGGGAAGGTCACAGTCAGTTGGTCAATCCGCCTAACCCCCATTCCACAAATGAAAAAAAATGTATGAAAGACAGAAATTGATAAATAAGAGAATAGTTGAACATTTACATCCTGTATAGTTAGAAAAAATCTTACCTAGGATTAGGGTGCAGTATCCGGAAACCCGCACGGAGATGTTCTGTGGAAATTCCACCTCATACTTAAAATAAAATATCGGTCACTAAAAGCTTTTTTATATAATAGAGACGATTTAATAAAAATAAAATAAATTGATATGTATAGGTAATGTTAAGCCAAAGACATTACTTAACGTATTTAATGTACAATATAAAGTACTTAATTCTTCTTCTAAACTTACATACAGTAAATTACAAAATACTTAATCAATTAATTTACTATAATAATTACTTTTTTTGTTTCCAATCTGTAAATGTGACTATTCGATCAATATATAAAATTTTTAGACATTTAATCATGACTTGAAACATTTTATTTTTACAATAAATATTTTATTTGTATAATAATTAATCTTTAGAAAACTATGAAATCATTTTTTAACCAGGAAACAATTAATGACCTTCCTTTTTCAATTATATAGCAAAATAAGTCTAAGACAAAAAAAGATATTTTGCAACAAACATAAACATAAAATAATGTGAATAGTACACTATTTTTTTTTCTTTTAGAATAATTGACAGAACATTTTTAATTGATAATATTTATTAAATTAACATAAATAAATTTACTCTCCTGCTGTCCAGTTAACAAACAATGCACCATGCAAAATCAAAACTATATAGTAATTACTGATTTATAAAAGTCATAATGTCATAATAACATTACTCATCAAATTATAAAAAGGCTTTATTCATTGCCCTAATTTATGTAATGATACATAATCAAACCAATCAAATTAGAGCAAATAGTACTGAATAAACTATTACTTTACAAAAATGTTGATGTAAAATACTAACACTTTATACTAAACTGAAATATGTCACATGGACTTCAAAGTTTTAAACACTCAATCACTTCGTTGAAGAAGGAATGTTATTAATTTTTCTTAACAGTTGATCAATAAGTCTCTTTCTTACACATTTAAAATTTTCAATTCAACATAAATATTACACAATTTCTTTCATATAACTGTCTTAATAATCATCAATTTTTCTTTTTGTTGCAGGCAATCGAGGAGTAATAGGTTCAGTTTTTTTAAGCATGGTTTTTACACCACCCGCAGGGGAGGCAACGACATCTTGTAACCACCTAACTTGGGTTGCAGGTCCAAATCCTTTTTCATTCTTTGCCGCTATCCTAAATATAATGGCAGGCTTTGATGTAGTATCAATATGGGCAGCAGCTAAGGAGGCATTAGGAACAACTGTTTGATTTTGAGGGCCACTATAGACACGAACAAAGGCTAACTGTTGTCCCTTTTGTTCAGTTTGAGCTTGTGTCGTGTTTCTGACTGCCAGACAAACGGAATATTCAATGATATTTCCAGCTGGATTCGAAGGGGGCTCCCAAGATAAATGAGCTCCCTCAGCAGACTTTGATATTTTGATTGAGGAAGGTGCCCCAGGATACCCAGGCAAACATGTCTTAAAAGCAGATATTTCGCTCCAGGGTCCACGCCCACAAGAATTGATAGCACACACTCTAAATTTATATGCAGTACCCGGTTCAAGGTCTATTTTAAAGCAGTTAGTAAAGTCAGGCAAATTGTCTGTATTTATATTTTCATGTTCAGGATCATGAGAAAACGGAGGCTCATGGTAATAAGTAACGTGATAAGAGTTTCCCTTGATAATACCAACATCACACCAAACAGGCTCTTTTTTCACAGGTTCTTCTGGTTTATTTCCATTGGCTTGATCACAAGTCAATGCTGCATTTGCTAGAGTTGCTAAATCATCTGTTCCTGGATCATCTTTTTTTTGCAATGCAAGTTGTAAATTGTCAGTAGCTTTTAGAGCTAAATGTTCTTGCATTGGATCAACAGCGTCTTGGTGCGACTCAGTTTCATCTTTCATAATGATTGGTAAGCTATCTTTCATAACACCGGAAATTTGTGTGTTTTCTTCTCTGAGTCTTTCTAGTCCTGGCTTCTGGAAAGTAATTTCTTTGTTTGGATGTTCAACAGGAACAGAATCATTTACATGATCAATGTGTGATTTATTATCTAATGTTTCATGAGCCTGATGAGCAATACTAACGCAAGCACCGGCCAATCTGTTCAATTCAGAGACAGGAAGAGCATCATGCTCTAAGGGAGATTCTGATTCCATTCTTTGTCCCTGGTCCTGAGATGGAAAACTTGATTCAGGTTCAAGTTCAGGTTTTGTTATTTCCTTCATAGGAACATCTTTTAATCCAGATTGGACACTCTCTGTTGCCATTGCAGCTTCATCCTCAGGTAGAGTAGGCATATCCTTATGTGATTCAATTTCTCTGTGATTTATATTTTGTCCAGCAGATTCAGGTTCAACTTCTCTCATAGATTCATTTGTTTCTACTGGATGATTCACTTCATCACCTTCATTAACTAAAACTCCAGCATGATCTAATGATTGCTGCTCATGCATATCTGATTCATCACCTGCTTCCAAAGGTTCAGTACTGCCATTTAATGCACCATCAATTCCTTCAGTTTCATCTTCAATATTGGCACTTTCACCTTCCATTGAATCTTCAACCTCTTCTCCTTCAACTTCATTTCCTTGCATTTCTTCACCTAAATCGTCAACTAAATCTGAATCACCTGTAACTTCAGCACCATGATGGATATCTTCTTCTTGCATATGTTCCTCCTCTTCTTGTTCTTCTGATATATTTAAATCCTCCTGAATTTGTTCCATGTTTCAATGAACGTCAAGCCTAAAAACAAAACAATTTTTTCTAAATAACTTAAAACAACATTATATTCATGACACTTTAAACATGAATTTTCAATAATTAGCATTCTATTCAAGATTCCTTTTTTCTAAGGGGTTAATAAAATATATATTAAGTAACCAAAAGCAACACAATAGTAAAAATAGCAGAACTTGGTTAACTAATGTAGAATTCAATTACGACAGTTTTATGATACAATCAAAAGAATTTAATATCCATACAACAATGTTATGTAATGATGCTGAAAATCTTTAACCAGAAAGTAGATACGTGCCTTTAACAAAATGAATGTGCCTCTTTCCTTAAAATAAGAGATCTGGTGACATTCACAACAAACTAATACATGTTTAAACTACTAATCCATATCATTCAAATCTACACCATACATAATACGGTGGTATTGATCTATTTTTGCCAGCTCTCAGGGGAGATATAGTTTGATGAATTTGTTGAAAAGGGAAATTAAGGAGGAGAAAAACACTAAGATGAAAAGGAGAATTATACAAAGATCCCTGTGACTCTTCGGATAATAATGAAAGAAACGTTTTGATAATAATATTTAATATTGATAGTAATATCATACTTTCTAAAATACAACAAAATAAATTATTAAATTTTTTCTTAATCCAAACCAAGCCATATCTCATTACACAGAAAATTTCCAAACAGAAATATTCCTCATTTTATATTTGAACTTTTCTCCTTATATAAACACAACCATAAATTAAAAGAGTTTTAATCTTTAACCATATACTACCAAGGTTTATATTTCACAGCTAACGAATTGCTCCGATAAAACAATATACCAATTCTGTAGATAAATTAACTAACTATTTTAATAATAATATGAACAACACACAAAAAAATGAATAACCTCAAATAAATCATAAATAAGCATTTGATACCGATAAATTCTAAACTTCTTAAACTTGAACGTATAGTACTTATTAACAATATTGTGTTTGATTGTCATTAACAGATCATCACTGACAGATTTGCAAACAAAATGATTAGTTTCTGCATTAATCATTTCCATGAAACAAAAAAACAACTTAAGCTGGAACATTATTAACACTTCACTCTCCCCCTCCCCAAAAAAATAAATGCTCATACAGTATCAAATTATTTCTGGTGTTATATTAGTCTATACTCATAATTCCAGCAAAAAAACAAATGTACCTTCTTCAATAATCTACCATTAAACATCTCAATTTTTCTTTTAATTTAGTGCAGATGCACTAGAATAAACGTAGTAGTACTTGAGATAACTAACACTGCATATGTGCATTATAACTACAAAGATAATAACCAAACAATCTGCTTGATTTTATAAAAAAAATATAAGCTTTCTAATATTAAAAAAAACAAAACAATAAAAGCAAAACATAATTACTAAATATGTCTAATAAATTATTTTTACGACCATTCAACAGCCGAATATTTACCTACTTGGCTTACGAAATTCCAAATGGCTTAATTCAACAATTTTGTTCTAAACCAGTCAAATATCTAAGTAACTAGATAACGCACTTTAAATATGACAATAAAAACAACCACGCTGTATCCTTCCCTTCTTAGCGGCGCTAGTATCAACATTCCTCGATCAGTTATGAGTCGATATAAATATACAATCGATTCCAAATCTACATGTTTGTAGGTGCGTTTAGACCCTTCACAAACTGTGGGAAACACAATTATCTAACTTAATCAACAGCAACATAATCGCTAAACCAAACTATTTATTTTAATTATTATACTGATGGAAAATACCAAAAACAAAAAACAAAAATACTAATATAATGAATTAACTATTCATATATTTATGTGTCCCATAGTTTGTGAAATGTCTAAACCTGGCTTGAAATATAAGGTAAGATTGAATATCCAGCTATTATCTACTGATACATACTATACTAAATTTAGTAGTATCTACTGAGCTACCATAGAAATTTCATTACTAAGGATTTATTTCACAGAATTATATATGTATTTTACTTTTTAAAAATTCACATGTAATAGCCTGAAGTTTTAAATATTTTAATCAGTGACAATGGCTACGAAAAATTCAAATCAACACTTAATTAAATAGAGGCCCTTAAGGCACTAGCGGGTCCCCAAGGACTACATGCCGACTCGTCACCAGGGCATATTGTAGCAACAGCTTAACAGATGACAGTCCAGCCCTGGGTATCCTATTGACATAGGGGAATCGACTCTTTGGTCGCACGTCAACTGCGAGTGAGTCCCCTCGGTTGGTTCCACTGGTTTCGGGACGGATCTCGAAGGGACGTCCCTTCTGACCAGGATGGCTAATCCCTCTCGAGGCCCTCCCATCGAATCCTATGTGGCTAATCCCCCACACACCTCCCGGTATACAGTGTACCCCTGGCCGAGTCGAGGTGAGAAGCATGGTATCTATCAGCGCCACCAACGGTCTATACCGGCTACTGAAGAAGGATTTCAGCCTGCTTCTGGAAGAGGTCCCTGGTGTTAAAATTCATGAAGAGATTATCAAACATGACGCTTCTTCGTAATAGCATCAAGCATGTGGGCAAATATAACCATCAGCTTGTCCATTCTTGTCAGCATCGTCATCACCAGAGAAGTCAGGAAGGCATCTGTACTTGTTGAAGACTGAAGCGATTGTGTTTCTGGGGTCATTTCCGTGGACTGGGCGGTCTGCTTGTGGTGGAGATTGCTCCGGTGGCGGGTATGAGACTGGTGGCGGGGAGAGGTACCTTCTGATTTGACCGGCGCTCTCTCGCTTGCTGTGCTGTATGCCAGGCCCTCCTGGACCCACTTACTCTGTTTTCTGGTGTTTGTTTTCGCCGGTGTTTCTTCGGTGACTTCTCTAATTTTCTTCACCAACTCCTGCCTCTTCAAGCACTTTTTGGAGAAGGTGTTGTCTTCGGGCACTGTTCAAGAGTGTGGATACCTCCACATCAGGGGAACGTACATGTTCAGCCGCAATATTTCATAGTGCGCCCGAATTCTTGACAATTTCGGCACTGTGCTGAGGCACCATCTTCTTTAAAGATGCTCTCTCGAAATTTGCATTGTGATACAGTTTTGCGATGTCTGCCAGCTTGACCCAGTCGTCTGTAATTATCTGGATTAGCTTGATATGTCTTGGTGGTTCATTCGGATTATATAACTTTAAGGTAAAAGTTCTATGGACGCTGTATGCGTACTATGCATCTGTGGCCAAAGGCCTTTTATTAGCCAGTGGGCGTGGATGGGCCGCCCTGCATTAATTTATTATTTACAATAATTTAGTGGGTGTGAACTACAGACTCCAAATCCCTTCCCTCGGCGAGAACATCTACCAAGGGGACTTTACCTTGCCAACTCCCAGGCCTGGGCGGCGGTACTATTTCCTGGAAAAGCGGTTTAGCACAGACCTTCAGCCCATCAAAAAATTTGATGTGCCTTCGGCCTTTGAACTCAGGTACCGATGGGAGCTGAAGCTCCTCTCGGATCTTTACATTCTTTGCCCTTTTCAGGGTGGTACCTCTGACTATTCACCGAAGGATGGAGTTTTGATAACTCTGGAGTTTCTTGAGCGTGGACTTATACAGGTGGCAGAGCAACGGTGCACCATAGAGCAGCGTAGGCCTGATGATCGCCTTGTAGATTTTCAGTTTAGTCTGAACGAGAGCTGCGCCGACTTTAGCAGGTGGTAGAGCCTATATGGCTTTTGTCGAGCCAGCTTGAGCCTCTGGTTGACGTGACTAGTAAAGGTGGGGTGCCTATCCAGAGTCACGCCGAGGTAAAGGACTGAAGTGGAGATCCGATGGTTCACTCCATTAATGAAATGAATGAAATGAAATGAAAAAAATGGTGATGTGTAATGGTGAAGTGAATGGGTAGGGGCTTCTTTCCTTGCTGAAACGACATCACTATGGCATCGGTCTTAGTAGGATTTACTTGTATGCCGTTTTTCTCAAGCTCCTTGACGATGGTATCTGTGGAATTCTGTGCTTTCATGAGAGCTCTCTCTGCGTTAAGGCTGGATGCATAGACCGCGATGTCGTCAGCATAGGCTGCTACCACCGCTTCTGGATGCTTAAGTGCCACTACTGACACCGTGAAAACGACGAACAGTAATGGCCCTAACACAGACCCTTAAGGTACTCCATATATGGTATCGACTGGGTTCGAGTAGTCATTACCAACTCGTTCGACGAAAGATCTTCTGCTAAGATAGCTTCTGATCAGTCGGCATAAAGGATCAGTCTTCGGAGAAACAGCGCGTGAGACACGCAGTCAAAGGCCTAACTGCAGTCCAGTGAGATGAGTGCCGTAGCTCTGTTGTGATTCATCTGCTCTATGGTGTGTGCCTGAAGTTTCGCCAGATGATGTTCACAGGCGACTCCGCGTTGGAAACCGGTTTGCTTTGGTGGGATAACGTGCTCTTTCTTGCAGTGACTCATGAGGTGGTTTTTGTTTTGTTTTTTCTGTTCTTCCCTACCTCGCCTTTTAGGCTATACGGGATTTTCCCGGGCCGGGGGATGAGGGCGGGGAATTTAAAATCCCCTACGGCACCGGGACGCGAACTCGTACTTTTTATAATCTTCTCAAATTCTGTTATCCGGTTGCCAGGCAACTCGCGGTGATGTGCACACGCTTTAGCCCATTAGGCCACCCCGCCCCCCTCATGAGGTGGTAATGAATCAATCGCTCAAAGATTTTGCTGATGTGCGGGAGGAGGCTGTGCTATCGGATGATAGTGCTCAGCCATGTCTCCTATCTTCCCCGGCTTGAGTAGTGGCACTACGATGGCTTGTTTCCAGACGGTAGGAAAGTAAAAGATCCGCAAGCATGAATTAAAGATCTTTAGAAGGAAGGCTTTACCGCTTCTTGGGAGCATCTTCAGTAGAACATACGGGATATCATCATGTCCCGTCGCCTTGTTTCCTTTGATAAGACGTAGTACAGACTCAAGCTGGTTAAAATTGCAGAATACGGACTTCTCAGTGAATCCAGTTGAGGATCCCTGCTGCACCGGTGGGGAGCTTCTAGTTCGCTCAGCATCCCTTGCTGCATAGCTTTTCACCAAATGTTCAGCCTGTTCCCCAGTTGCTAGTAGCGCGTCTCCTGATGTCAGATGCACGCTTCTCTTCTTACTAACGAAGGTTCTGACAAGTTGCCAGAACTGGCGGTGATCGTCATGAGTCCTTCGTGGCTCCTCGTGCCAGAGTGATGTCTTCCAGTCACTCATGAGTCTTGCAATCTGCCGGGTCATCGCATTGATGACCGATTTCAAGCTGTAGTCACGAGTGCGCTGGAAAACGTTCCTCAGGTTGTTTCGCTGTCTGATCAGAACTAGTATGTGCCGTGGAGGTGGTTCCGATAATAAACAAAATGTGATTTATATTTATTCCTCGGAGCTATAAGAAAACGAGAACGAACTCTTTGGCGCCTCTTTCTGAATTCGATTTTAATGTTGGAAGTTGATCTTCCTTTCTTGAAAAATTGATTCTACTGAATAAATTACCTTAATATAAATTAAACTTATAATATCATTTTCATTACTACAATATGATTCTACAACCATTAAATAATTTGAAATTCTCTTTATTTTTGCTGGAGTATCACACCCTATTGATTTTCTACCCCATATTGTAATGCCCCCTTTACCAGCGATCTTAATATCGTTCGTATTTAATTTTGCTTTGAGTCAAAAAACCACTTTTGTATTTCCGGAATTTCCTTATAAGGAAACCAACAAAAATGTAAGTTCTAAACTGAGCGTTTTTGATGTACCATTTCATTAACAGAAGCTTCGAGTTATTTGTCAAATTTGATATTCATTAGTTCTTTTTCCTTATTTGAAGATGAAAAACTTAAGGTACATATACAAATGATTCAGTATAATTTTAAATAGTTTCTACTATACTGCATGGGCAACATTCATTAAAGCAATGAATTCAAGCTGTAACGGACTCCATCACTTAAAATTCAACAAAACACGAAAAAATTAGCATCTATATATTATAATTTGTGGCCAGTAACACATAAGCACAATACCAGGAGCCACTACAAAGTTCTGCATGTCAACATTATTCACTAAACACCTTCAGGAGGGGTGCCTTTAATTTGCATTTCATATTATAATCTAGTGATAGCATTTTTGCACAGTTGAAAATGCGCAAAAAGGAGCCAACTATAATCAAATGATGTTTTTCGTAACTATGACAAATATTGGTAGTGTGCACATATCACCTCTTAATGAATACTCATATAAAAAGCAATGTTCATCTAGAATGTATTAATCATAATATTTTGCATATCATGCTTCATATTTCATATGTACTATTATTCATTATATAAGCTTTTTAGGTTATACAAGAGCACTTGCTGAACTACAGCTTTTAAAATTCCATATTACTCTACACCACAAATTTTATAAACATACCAGTTATATAAATTTGTTTATGTAATGTTTAATGAAGGAAATGGCCTTTCGGGAATTTGAAGCAGCATGTGAACAGAATCCTACGTGCACCCTTCAGAAGTCCTTATCTCGACTGAAATGTGTCAGAGAATGTATTTCTCCAATATGCTATCAACAAATATATTACCAAGATCAGG